CTTTCAGAAAATTTCAAAATATACAGCACATATTTAACTCAGCTAATTAGAGGCTTTGGGAAGTCTTGTTGGGTGAAAATCTTACATTTATTTGAGACCAACTTATCATGATTTGCAAACCATGTTTAGGAAGAGAAGTATAGAGAACATTCCATAAAATAATCTGAAAGGTCAATGAACTCTATGATTAACAAAAGATGCAATGAAACCTTTTTTTAAATCTACTTTTAAAAATAAAAACATTCTAAACTATTTTTAAAATGAATAAAAAAGATAATGCCCTCAACTTAAAACTATCTATCTTAATGCAACATAAATGAATTACTAATCACAGCTGATGGTTAAGTATTAGAATAGTATCAGTAAAAGTCAAAATTCACCCTAGTATATAAAAATCTATATATTAAATATGTGTATAATTAAAGCATAATTATAAATATGTGAGGTAGAGTCAATTAAAGATAACTCAAACTAGAAAAAGTTGAAGTGGATATAACATAGCTAAAAGGATGACTGTCTGATTCTAAAGGTGATTTAGAAAATCACAAAGGATTATAATAAAATATTATAGAGCAAAAACAAAACACTTTTTCATTTGTGTCAAGATATAAAAGTAAAAAGACAAGTTGTGAAGAGATATGTTAAGCATAATGAACTAACTTGTGCAAATCAATGAAATAAAGACTAAGACAACAATTCACAAAGGAGAAAATACATATAAACTATAAAAACTGAAAATATCCAACTTCAGTAGTACCCAAAAAGATGCAAATTAAGATAATGAAACACCTCTTCAGTTTATTTAAAAAATGTTAAAAAGTGAGCCACTCAACCAAGGCACAATCATAAACCAATGTTGAAAGTCGAGGAAATTAGAATAACACTTTTGAAAATCAATTTGGCAACATGCATCAGATGTCTTAAAAATATTTATACTTCTACTCTCATTTACTTATTTATTTTATTTTACTTTATTTTATTTTGCAATCGAGTGCGTGAACTCACAGGAGAGGGATAGAGAGAGAGACAGACAAGCAGACAGACAGAGACAAACGCACAGCACAAGGGAGAGAAAGTGAAAAATCACCCCCACAGAAGGAAGGAATGGCGACACACAATCCTTTCTCCTCTATTCTCTTCTTGGGATTTTTGGCACATGTGACATGATTTACAAGTTCCCAGGGAGACTTGAACCACTCAGTGGGTCATGTGGGATCCAACTACCTTAACCTCCATGCCACTTGCTGGCCCAATTCCCTATCTTAATAAAATAATTAAAATCATTTTCTAAGTCTTTATGCATAAATATATTTATCACAATAAAGAGTCAAAAATAAACTATTGTTCTATGATTTCATTACTGACCAATGGATGTTTAACTCATTATAGTATATCCAGTGAAATAAATGACAATGATATTAAGAATTATAAACTATAGGGAACCCGCAGTTAGCATAATGGCTATGTTGCTGGATTCCCACGTAGTCGACGGCGGTTCGTGTCCCGGACCCAGTGGCTTAGAACTCACGCCGGGCGCGTGTGCGTGCATGCCCAAGATCCCGAGAGAAGAATGGAGGAGAAGGGATTGCGGCGTGACCATCCCCCCTGGGGGGTGATTTCTCACTTTCTGTCTCTCTGTCTCTCTCTGTCTGTCTGGCGAGCGCACGCACCCTATAGTGAAAAAACCTCTCAAAAAAAAAAAAAAAGAATTATGAACTATAATAACATCAAACACCCAGAAAGTTCAATAAAAGTGAGACACTAAATTGTACATTCACAAGGTTCATAGCTATTCTTAAAATGTAGAAAAATTTAAAAGTAAAAGAACACTGTGCTGGAGCTGGCAGGTGGCGTGGTGGTTAAGGGTGCTGGACTCCCTCAGTGCTGACTGCGGTTTGAGTCCTGGACCTGGCGGCTTGCTCTCTCACATTTCCTCTCTCTCCCTCTCTCTTTCTGTCTCCCACTCTGCCCCTTTCTGTTCAAATTAAAATAAATACATAAATAAAGTTAAATAAAATAATTCCTTAAAAAAAAAGGAACACTGTGCCAAAATGTTAACTGATTTGCTGAATAGTGTGTGATTATGAGTAATATTCTTTTGATTTACTACTTTTTACACATTTTCAATAATGTAAAAATGTTATTTTTAACCTCGGAAAATAAAATGAATTGTTCTTAAAACTGGAAATTTGCTTTAGAAGAACTACAAATTTAAATGAAAACATTCTTAAGATTACATTGGAAGTTTTATTAAAATTTTTGCATCCTATGAGCTTTCAATGTTTTAAATTGATGCAACAGAATTCCTGTGAGGCTCTCTGTGATAGTCCTTTGAGTAAAAACCACAAAGCCAGCTTCCATCAATTACAGTAATTCATCTAGAAGACTCCTTAGCTAACACTAAATGAGTTAATATTCAAATACCAGAATGTTCCAAAAATTAGACAGTAATATATTAATATAAAATTATTTCCAGAAGTATTATTTAAAATCAGTGCTAACCTAATCCTTTCTGATCTGTGCTTTTGTTAATACTTCACGATATTTTTGAGAACAATCTCTAAATTTTAAAACATAAATAATTGTGCTTAGATGACTTCTCTTTCCTGGAAGAAACAAGCATATTACATTGAAGACTCTGCAGTCCTAAATTGTAAACTATGGTGATTTAACAGTGAAGGTGACGGATTTTAATTAAAGCTTTTTGCAATCCTTAGTGGCATGGAAGTGGAAGGGACAGAATTTTCAGAAAGTAAAAATGTAACTACAATTTACTTAATTCTTTTGCCTCTAAGATAGTGAGATAGTGGTAGCTTTTAGCTTTGGAAAAAATATGTGTGCTTCTTTAAAACTGTAATTTCTTTTCTGTTTTCCCAAAAAACATTACACAAAACTTGAAAATACATATATAAAAGTAAGACAAAATGGTATAGTGAGCTCGACTTCGCCCAATTACTGATTACCCAACTTCAGCAATTATTATTTATAGTCAACCTTCTTTCACTGTAAGCCTGTCTATGTCTACTTCCTATTCACTCCAGACTATTTTGACTTAAACACCAGACATCGTGTATTCTTGTCTGTAAAATTTCAGTAGGAGTATCTAAAAGATACTTTGAAACATATGACAACAATATTTTACGTCTACAAAAAAAAATATTTGAATTTTTGGGGTAGTTTTTTACACAGTTATTTATTGGGAATGGAATACACATAAGTTCCATATACCATATACTGAAAATGTTTAATACCTCTCTTAAATCTCTATTAATCTATAAGTTTTCCCATCTCCCTCTCTCTCTTTTTTTTTTTTAAGGTTTTTGCCATAGGGCATGTACACTTGCTGGAGAGTAACAAAGACAAGGAAAATGAGAAATCACTCACAAGGGGGGATTGTCATGTTGCAATCCCTTCTACTCCATTCTCTTCTCAGAATTTTGGGGCATGCACACACACATGCCTGGCATGCTTTTTGAGCCACTGAGTCTGGGCTTCAAACTGTGGTTGGTCATGTGGGAATCCATCACATGCCACCTGATGGCTCCATCCCTCCATCTCTTTTTTCTTTTTTTTCTCCCTCTCTTAGAATACTCTGTTAAGGATATGAGGTATCTTCAACTATAGGTAATTCTCGTAGTTCCTTATAGTTTTTAACTTACTAATTGACATTCATTTTGATAGACTGGTTATCAAAGTACTAGCTAAAGAAAATTGAATATACTGGAACCAGAAAAGTAGACCAGAGGACCAAATCACCTCTTAATATTAGGATGAAGACACTATTTGTTAGTAAACTGAAAAAAGGAAAGCTTGTTTAAAAAAAGAATTGCTCCATAGTTTAATGATTAGGTTGTTGGGAAAGTCATGACATATTTTTCTGTTTTTCTATGCAAAAATGTGTCATGACTTTCCTGACAATCCAATACTAAATAAGTGATCACATTTTCTTTTTTTGCCACATACAACAAAATGCTAAGACAGTAACCAGTATAAATCTTAAATAGACATAGTATAAATTGAAATGTAGTGTACTCACCAGTCTTCATTTCTAATAAACGCTTTTTCTTTTGCTGGCGTTCAAACCGTTCTTTCTCTGCTAATTCTTTAGCGATTCTGGCACGTTTTTCTTTTTCCTCTGCTTCTCTTTTTTTGATGTTATCCTTTATTGCTTGCTATTAAAATAAATTTTGAAAAATGATCAATTTTAACCCAGTGGTTTCACAGAGTGCAAATTACCAACGTGAAATTATACTCAAGGTAGAATGGTGATTAAATGTCTTCTATTGACTAGATAATGGTCAGTTCTTATATCAGTAACAGTCTTTTAGAAGATACACATATAAACCCCTGTTAAATGTATTGTGGATCTAAAAATACAACTGTTCGCTTAAAACGCCTGATTCTTAGTAGAATTAACTAACTAAATGGAAGAAGGGAGACAGCAACTAAAAATAAAAAAAGCACTTAATTCACAAATCAAATGTGTTTTCATATGTACACATTTATATTTCAAGAGTGTCAAGCAACCGTATTACAGTCTTCTATGCTTCCTCCATCAAGTAAATTATCGCAGACAAAGAAGATAGTTGAAGGACTGATAGAAAAGAGCTCAAATTTTATAGTGGCTATTATATATTATGACCAGTCATTTATACAATTTTCTCAGACAAAGAGAAGTATAAAAAAAAAAAAAAAACTTGAAGAATATTTGCCATTTCTATGCTAGGTCCTTTCACTGTTGATCAATAATAATATGCTTATAAGAAGATAAGTTATAGCTACTTTTTTTTGAGTTCTTTTTGAAATTCTTTTTAAGTTTATCTTATACATTCAATCACTGTATATCGCAACAGCTTGTAAAATTAATTTTCCCAGCATAAAGTTTTACACAAATGAAGAAATGTCTTGAATGTGGCACTAGAGGGAATTAGCAGGCAAACACAAATTTTACTTAGTACCAACAAACAGCCTAGCAACCTGTTATAATCTCCTGTGGAGACTGTATTTAAGTGCCAATGAAACTAAACAGGTCATCATGTTGCTGGTCTGTCACCCATGGTATTAAATAGAAAAGTGTATAATTAAACTATAACTAACAAGCAGGTGGCTAATGTTATTTGGAGAGAAGCTCTCATCGATTCTTTACTGTAGTACTCTTATTTTCAAGCTTAGGGATAGCCTAAGTTCTTCATTAGAGATCAAATAATGAGATTTATTATTGACTTAGGCAAGGAAAAGTATAAGGAAAACAATGAGGAGGAAAAAAATAGATTAGAGGGAATGTTAACTTGTGCATGTTTCCATTCATTCATTAATTCTTAGTGGCTACTAAAGGATATTGTTCTAAGATTTTGAGAGAGATTGAATACACACACTCTCTAAAATATGTTTACATACATATGGTAAGAAATGGCAGGAGGCAGACAAACAACAAAAATTTGATATAGTACTATTAAAAAAATGAAGCAGAGTGACATGATAGAATGCCTGAGGTGTTTTTGTACATAAGTCATTCACTTTCTGATTTGATTCAAGCTCTCTTCAATGTCCATAAGCTTGTTAGGTGATAACACGGGGGAAGAACATTACCAGGCAGAGGAAAGTGGTAACACAAAGACTACCGATGGGTTCGGGAAAGAGAAAGGCCAAAACAATGGTATAAAAAGAACACAGAGATATCCTCAGGGTAGGCTATCTAGGATATCTAGCTCATTTAGGATCTTCTAGGCCAAAAGAGTGAGAATGGATTTTCTTCTAAGGGTATGGACAACAATTGGAGATTCTGAAGCAGGAAAATACAAGACTAAGTGCTCTATGATATAAGAACCAATCAAACACCTTTATTTCAAGCTATCTTTTCACAGATATTTCCATAACACAGAAACTTGGAAGACAGAAGTAGCAATTTCTTTTTAAGCAAATGGATGTGTTCACTGTATAGAATGAAAGATTGGGGCAAAAATTGAGTAGTTTTACTATCTATTACAAAAGATGGGGTTATATAAGCTCAGGATTCCTCTCTAGTAACACAAACAACTAAGTATGTTGCTGTTATCTGGTCCTCCTCAGATTACGCTGTGGGAACACAGATTCAAAATAATCTATTCTGGCTATTGCTATTTGTGTCTTCTGCCAACAGCCATGAAACTTATTTTTCCAACTCTTCACAGTTGACATAGATTAACACTAATTATTATCACGAAACAATGAAACAATAGTTGTAATATCAGAGGTTTTCGTATGTAACACATCCAAATCTCAAGTTGGATTCTGCATTCTGGCTCAGAATAATTTAGTACTTGCTCATTGTAAGTAGTAAGAGACAGAAAGCTGCAATATTTGAAAGCTAGCTAGTCAATTTTTTTCTTTTCTAATTTTATTCATTTAAAAATTATTATTCATACATTAAAATGCTATAAATCATTTAGATTGTGAAGACTTTACCCAGCATGATATACACCTCAGTCCAACCCAGTTGAGACTATTATACACGTCCTTGTCAACAAATAAAAATCTTTATCTGTGTCCCACAAGTGTCTTACCTCTCCATTCCCCCCCCCAAATTTCCCTTCCTATGCTCTTCTCCTCCAATACTCTTTCCACTTTGTCTCTAGTGTCCACTACAATTTTTAATGCTTTTACGTTCTCCAGTCTTTCAGTCTCTACCATAGAGTGCGGACAGTCAGTATATGTTAAATGGAGACATACAATGTCTCTCTTTCATAGCCTGACTTGCTTCACTCAGCAACAAGTTCTCATATTTGTCCACTTTCTATCAAATTCCAGGGCCTTGTTATTTTTTTTTTTAATGGCTGAATAGTATTCCACGGAGTATATGCACAATAATTGTTCAATCCATTCATCTGTTTGTGGACATTTGGGTTGGTCCCATGTCTTAGCAATTGTGATTAATGCTGCAATGAAAATAGTTGTGCAAGCGCTTTTCCGACTGAGTGCTCTCCTGTCCTTTGGGTAGATACCCAGGAGTGGAATTGCTGGATCATATGGTAGTTCTAATTTACAGTTGCATATGTCAAGGATCAGCCATTAAATAACAGTTGCTATAAAATCCTTACAAGGGAGGTAGGAGAAGACATCATAAAAGTAGAAAACAGGCTTGAATTCAAAGCCAAGTGTATCTGTATGTGTGTGTGTGCATGTGTTCCCAGGTACACGTGTATAACGGAGATGGACTAGGAAGAATAGGATGTATCGGAGAAAAGGGTAAGTGGTTGGTAAGTGGTGGATGAGGTGCTGGATCCTACATGGCCAACTGTGCGGGTTGAGTCTCAGAACTGGCAGCTTGAAAAACATGGGGGCATGTGTACCCAAAATCCTGAGAAGAGAATAGAGAAAGGATTGCCATGTGGCCAGGGCCAATGGGGGTCACTGTTTCACTTTCTTTCTCTTTCTCTGTCTCTTTCTGGTGAGCAGATGTGCCTTATAGCAAAAAAAAAAAAAAAAAAATCAGAAATCAAAACTGAATTTGTTACTTCAGGGAAATAAGTAAGAGGAATTTGTAATAGATACATAATATTAATATATTACATAGCTTGTTTATGAATCCTATTAAAGTATAAACTTTTCTAATGTGAATTTTTAAATGCCCAGGTACATTTTAGTGTAAGAATTTAATACAACACCTATTATCAGATATAACTGCCACACTCCTTTAGTTTTCCACTGATAATTAAAAGTCAAAATCATGTTCTAGCATCTATAAAAATAATGCGTACATTTAGAAATAAGGGCATAAAGTAGTTCTAAAAGCTATTTTTTGGAAAATGCACTATTGTTTTTCATTTAAAAGCCTATCTCATTTAAAACATACCTTGTTCTGATGTTATATTTATGAAGAGAAGAATTTAAGCTGGAAAAATACCAACAGACAGCCTAAAAATAGGTATTTAGCTTGAAACTAATATCTCAGATGAAACAGAAATTTGGGATTTTCTTGTCTTCCAAATGTTAAGTAAAAGAAGCCTGAAATGGAAGAGCTAAATAGAGAGTGACATTATTAAAGATACAATTGTGTCTTAGTTATTTCAACTAGAAATTGGAAGCCAGGAACGAAAGAGTAAGCCAGACATAAAGAGACCTGGTTATAACACATTTATTTATTTATTTAATCATCATATTCTTGACTTGGAATTTTATTTGGTCAATTGGTAAATAAATTACATGGCCACTAACTACTTTCAGATATGCACTGCCAAAAAATATTCTTTCATTATTTCCCAGATAAAGCCTGGAGTGTGTCCTTCTCTGAGAGATTTGTGGGCTTTCCAGAAAAGACCACACATAGTTTCTAAACTTCAGCCACATTTCAACAGTTCATTTCAAAGGCATGAAGAATCAGTGATCTCACGTTCCTCCATTCAAATGCTTTTTAAAAAATTTTTATTTATTTATTTTTTAAGAGGTGTTTTTTTTTTTTGCTATAGGGAATGTGAGCTTGCCAGAGAGACAGAGAGAGGGAAAGCGAGAAATCACCCCCGGGGGGATGGCCATGTTGCAATTCCTTCTCCTCCATTCTCCCCTCGGGATCTTGGGCATGCACGCATACGCGCCTGGTGTGAGTTTAAGACTGCAGTTGACTACATGGGAGTCCAGCGACACAGCCATTAGGCTAACTGCTGGTCCCTCAAATGCTTTTCATGGTAATAGTAGACAGTAAAATATCTACATACAATGCATAGGCATGGAACAAATACAGACATACCAAAACATAGAGATGTTAACAAATACACATTTCTTTTGTATTCTGGAAAAAAATATGTGCTAACAATGACTTTTGCCTATAATTTTATGTTGCTTACATAAGTAATGGAATAACAATTTTGTCACAACTAGTTTAAATACATATTATATCACTACATACTGTATTTTCTTCTGAGAGACACCAAAATGTCCCAAAGTTACTTAGTAAATTTAAATGAACATGTGTGTGTGTGTGTATGTAAAATTTGGAAATGTGTGCTAGACAGTAATGCTTCACAAGTAGTGGCTATTATTACCATAAACATTATCTCTGAGGTGTTCTTTTTTAATTTTGAGAGGATACTTGTGGTCACCAGAGAGAAACAGAGAGAAGCGTGAGTAAGAAGGAGACAAATTTAAAGGTCTACTCTAAATAGTAGTGACTACGGGGTCTAGGTCACACTGCGATTCC